ATATATAGGTCTTGAAATATTTAATTTGAACCATTGTTTTCCCAGTGTGGTGTAATTATACAGTAAACAACTTCAGTGATTTACAATGAAAGAACTTAAAGTATAAACTTGCRTCCCTACTAATATTTGGTTAAACGCCTCTTTACAAGTTGAACCTCAACCTTTTTTGTAAACACCATCAAGCTTCAGGAGTAGATATTTCTGGAAATTTGACCACTCTTCTTGGAGTAATTTGTTGTTTTCCTGGCATGTATTTAGCTTTTAACCAAAGTCTATAAATTTTCAGTTGGTCAAAATTCAAGGAAGGCCACTCCAGAAGCTTAACATTTGCCTGCTTTGTCTAATCAAAACCCAGCTTTGTGTTCAGGATCATCATCATGTTGGAACACAAACTGTATCCAAGATTTAACCTTCTAGCTGTTAATCTGAGGTGAAGGTGAAGAATTTGGTGGCAGACCTCTTTCTTCATTTAATGCACCAATACCACAACATGATAGTGCCACTACCATGCTTGATAGCTGGAAGGGTTTTCTTTYATTTCAAAGCCTTTTCATCAGAAAGTATTTGTCTTGTTCGTCAAGCTTGATGGTGCCATGTTTGGAGAATGAGCTTCTGTCTCTCAGTCTCAAGTAAAACTGTCTTCACTGTGAACGGTGACGCCAGTGTTCCATGGACCTCATGCATAAAGGAGTGTGCAGCTTTCACACTAAAAGTTGACGTACGGACAAATTTAGAAAAGTKCGCCGCACCAAAATATTCAGATGTATAAAATCGTGCGCACACAGGTTCCTGCGCACCTTTCCTTTATACATCCCAACGAACGTGAAACTGAGCGCACCTGCGACACCTCCCCTGACACGCCTCCATTTAAATATGTAAAATAGATAAATGTGTCCAGTGTGTGAGATTCTCCTCAGATTGTCCTCTCTGTGGGATCAGAAATGATTTTTAGATGCAGGAAAATTATACATAAAATGGAGAATGAGTGTGAAAACTGTCTAAATAAGTAGTGGGGTGTAAAAATGCATTTGCCACTCGCAAAGCTGTGTGGGTGTTGGTGTGTACGTGCATGTCCTGCAGCGCCRCATGAGACTGAGAGACGTTTCCACCTTTACACATTTTTAATAAATGACTGTAAACACAGAGAAACTTATGACTTTGGTAGAACTTAGAAAAATATTTATTAAATAGTTGATGTGAAGAAACGAGTCGCAGTGCTGTGAGTTTCTGCTGCAGTGTGATTTATAGTTTAGAATCATGAAGTCTTTCATTCAGATCAGCTGCATGGCTCGACTCAGAACTACAGTAAAGTACCTGATTGTAATTTTTTTGGTGTGATGCAAAAAAACAAACAAACAAAAAAAACACGCTGTCCTCAATTCTTCTTGTGGTGATATCACCCTACAGAACAGTTGACATTGATCCATAAATTACGCACAACTTTATGCAGCAACAAATCTATTGTCTGCGTCTTGTGGAGCAGAGGAATCATCACAGCTGAGCTGTTCTGAATTATTCTGCTGAGTTGACAAAGTTTTGTTTTCTCAGTGAGAATTAAAATGTTTCTTAGACAATTTCCTCAGCTGTGTGTGCGCTCCGYGTGTGTTTCCAGCTTGTGACAGAAATATAAATACCTTACAGTTTACAGACTGGATTGAAGTTCTTTTGATCATATTTAGGCTGATCTRTTTTCTTGTCTGAGGTTAAATGATTTTCAGTCMCGGKGTTCAGTTTCATGATCSTTCGAGTTTAAACAATAAAAACTCAAATAAAATAAAAAATCTAACACCGTGTTCAGACGCTCCTTACATCCAGAAAACAGAACAGTCGTATTTCTGTGGATTCAGGTCAGATTCATGACTTTGTGGGTTAAAACTGTCGACTGAAATCTTTGCGTGGCTGCCACACATTCTCACGGCAGGTGAAAACCACAGAGTCCACCTGGAACTGGAAACTGCTGGGGCTTCATGTATGAACAGTGCGTACGCATAAAAAAGTTACGTGCATCAGGTTCTGCGTAAATATACGCACACTTTGACGCAACGTTGGTTTTGATACATCACAACATGGGCGTAGAACCTGACGCACGTAACTTTTTTATGCGTACGCACCGTTCATACATGAAGCCCCAGCAGTTTCCAGTTCCAGGTGGACTCTGTGGTTCCCAATGTTTTCCTAAACACTTTAACCATCTTAGATCTTCACTGAGACTTTTAATAGTTTTTGCTAATACTGTATTTACAAGCCACACTAATTTACATGTAGTAAACATGTAGTAGTGTTTCTCAAACTATGAGTACTTCACTTTGGGTACTCACCTACACCGAATACTTACTTAGAACCTAAACATTACAGAATGACTTTAGAAATACATTGTTTAAATTTAAAACAAAAATGTCTCTCCTTCCTTACAGGCCTGCAGCCCCTCTGACTGGATCAAATCAAGTATACATCTATACTGTTGCAACATTTTCAACTTGTATAACTTACTTAAACATGGAATTGAAAGAATTTCCACTTGAAATGCAAACTGTAACACATTACATGGAGTATTGATACTAGWATTGGTATCTGTTCYGAGTATTGTGACRTTTTGTACTTGTAAAAATGCTGGTAACAGGCCCAGGATCTATACTAATATTGGTACTGGACACCACTAGTTTTTACATCTTTTTTTTTAAATACTGAAAACAATAACCTGCTGCAAGTTAGACCAAATGGATAACACTAAGAAATACCCAGATGTCTGATTTTATTCAGGAATAAATTACAACTCTAGCTATAAGGTTTCTTACAGCTTGTTGTTGTGTTTGTTTGTTATTTTTGATAAAAGGTCATTTTTACAGAATAGTCTTTTATCCTGGTTTTATTTACATATGTCTTACATGCATACATTTATTTACAGGTTTTATTTCTGTAGTGTTTTTTTTTTTGTTTTTACTGATTTTTTTATTTTTGTAGTTGAATTTGCTTTAACGTATTGGGCCTTTTACTATAAATGCTATCAATTTTAAATCTAATTGTATTTGATTTACTTTTTGAGCCAAAATGAGTTCATCTCTGTCTGCATTTTGAAAGTTTGCCTTCCCTTCTTCTTTCAGTCATTTTTCTCTTCCACCAGCAGGTTTCGCTCTTGCACAAGTTATTGTTTTCCTCAGTCACCCTCCCTTCCTGTCAATAAGCCGTTTATCTCYCCTCAACACTTTTTGCTCCCTCGTGGCATTCGTTAACCTCAACGTTTGCCCCAGAACCCTTATAATCTGTTCTCTCTTGAAAATACCATTTCCTCCTGATCCTTCCATCTTYAGCTGACTTAAAAACACTTCACCGTCCATTTAAAACTCATGATTTCTGTCTTTGYGGTGAAAGTGACCTCACAGAACCATTTAGTTGTTTTTTAGAAGGAAGCTAAAGCCCAAACATCTTTCTCTGTGTCGTCCTCAGAACCGCATGCTTGAAAGTCTGGCTCTGTTTTCCACCACCATCCATTCTGTCTGGTTCCAGTACACCTCCATCATCCTCTTCCTCAACAAGACTGACATCCTGGCTGACAAGATCCGAACCTCGGACCTGAACAAATACTTCCCTGGTTTCACAGGTGACTTGCCCTTCCATCTCTGTTTTGTTTTCATTTTAATTCTACAATTAGCTACGAAACATTTCTTGAGATTAAACATGGAATTACATAAAATGGAACAATTTAAATTCTTGTAAATATTCAATTTAAAATAAATAAATCTACCTAGCATTAGCATACTTTAGAGTTAGCATGTTAGCATTGTTCTTTGAAAGTGTGCTTCCTTCTTAGTTTTGGCATTGTAGATGTTTYAGAGATTCGTGGACAGTGAACGACAATAGAATCTGATTTTTTTAAAACTATAAAATACTCTTTAAAATGTTAAGCTGTAGATTAATCATCACCTAAATTAGCTTTAATTAGTTGATTATTGAAAACACAGGTTTGAATTTTTCTCACTTTGCTGCAACGGACACAACAGGTTCAAACTTTTCAAACGAGACTTTGCAGCAGCTCTGCTCCAGAGCCTGGTTATCAGTCAATTTCAAAGCCATCAACAAACACAGTTGCATGTGTTTATTTTCATCACAGAGTGGACAGAATCTCTGCAGGAACACCAAGGCTGTGATGTTGTTTTCGTCCTGCCAATTACTTTGGACATGTGACCGTCTGACCATGTCCAGTAGGAACAAAAGAATATTTCCCCTAAAAATTATTTACAAAATAAAATAAAATAAAACAAACAAAAAAAAAAACAATTTCTGGTGTATAATTTTGGCAAATTTTTAAATTTGTAGGAATATATCCTGTAAGTATGTCTGGAAGGGCATGCAGAAGATGAAAGCTAAATGTAGTATTTTACTGGCTGATTGTTGGCAACTTGTTTGTGATTAACATTCATAAAAAAGTCTTTTAAAATGTCTCAAAATGTTTGCGGAGCTTCTCAGTTTCTGCATGTGAGCCTTGCAGCCTTGTCACTTGAATTTTAAACATTTTAAACTAATTTTTCATCAAAATAGTAAGTCACATTTGTTGAAACTCAAAACTTTTCTCAATTTCTTTTCCCTAAATTCTAGAGCCATGTTTTAACACCTGGACAGGAGTTCTCTGGTTACAGAAAACAACAAAGACCACAGCGCTGAATGTTTGGTCTAAAATTCAGTCCTGTAATAAATATTTAAACCTGAAAACCTGATTCAGATCTAAAGCATACTCCAGTATTTTAAGTCGTAAGTGATGAGAAGCTGCTACAATCCAAACAACAAACAGATTTTACCCCCAAAGACACAATCTTAAGCTTCCTGTGTAAACCTATTAAAACAGGTAGCTGACCTGCAGTGGAGGTTTTTATATGGAGCAAAGGCTGTAAAGAAAGAGCTCAGTCTGATCCAAGCACAGGAGAGGAATGTCCTTCCTGTAACCAAATGAAGACAGAGCACTTAGTGGTTTCTTGCTYCAGACTAAATGATGATGATACACATTCTAGTTCTCTAGAAGCATTTTTTTTTTCTTTCAGCCTATTTTCACTTTGGGCTCAAGTACACCGTTAGGAGAAGACAAAGTCTTGTTCTGGTGAATTTAACGTTTGCAGCAGAACTAGCACTTTTTATTTGTCCTTCCTTCCTTCCTTCCTTCCTTCCTTCCTTCCTTCCTTCCTTCCTTCC